TCTATCCTTGGGTCTACTGGGTCTACTCATCGCTGGGATATTGTCTGCCATTGACCTCACGCTTACCCTGTTCTATTTCTTTTTCTTATCTTAATATCCCACTTCAACAACTACCCCGCCATGGCCCCTCCCAAGGTCTTCTCCCTCGAGGGCAAAGTCCTCAAACTCGACAGTGCAGAGGACATGAATGCGCACATTCAGCCCTTGATTGAAAACGCCGACTACACAGAAATCCGTCTCGGTGGAAACACCCTGGGCATTGACGCCTCCAAGCGCCTCGCCGAGGTCCTGCAGACCCAAAAGTGCCTCGAAGCTGCCTATCTCGACGACATCTTCACCGGTCGTCTCCTGACGGAAATCCCCACTGCTTTGAATTCGCTCCTGAACGCCATCCTCAAGATCCCGACCGTCCACACCGTGAACCTTAACGACAATGCTTTCGGTCTCAGAACTCAGGCCCCGCTTATCGAATTCCTCTCGCGGCACGTGCCTCTCCGCCACCTCATCTTGAACAACAATGGACTCGGCCCTGCCGCCGGATCTCAAGTCGCTGATGCGCTGTCAAAGCTGGCTGAGCGCAAGGAGGAAGCTCGCAACTGCGGCGAGGAGGTTGCGCTGCTGGAGAGTGTTGTCTGCGGACGGAACCGCTTGGAGAACGGCAGTATGGAGGCCTGGGCTCGGGCCTACAAGGCCCACGCGGCCGGCCTGAAGTCGGTTAAGATGACACAGAACGGCATCCGATCGGAGGGTATCTCCCACTTGTTGACTCAGGGTCTCTACCACGCGCATTCCCTGGAGGTTCTGGATCTGCAGGACAACACTTTCACCAATGTGGGCTCCACTGCTCTGTCCAATGCCTTGTCTGGCTGGCCGTCTCTGCGCGAGCTTGGTGTCGGCGACTGTCTGCTCTCTGCCCGTGGTGGTGTGAAGGTTGCCAAGGCTTTGGCGGCGAACAAGAACCAGAAGCTCCAGACTCTGCGTCTGCAGTACAACGAGATGAAGGCGGAAGCTGTCAAGGGCTTCACCCATGCAGCCAAGACTGCGCTTCCCAGCCTCCGTCGCGTCGAGCTCAACGGAAACATCTTCTCCGAGGATGACCCTAATATTGTTGACCTGCGTGAGCTCTTGGAGGCTCGACAGGAGGAGCACGGTACCGACGAGGACCCGGAGGGTACATGGGGTGTTGATGAGTTGGATGAACTTGAGGAGGAAGATTCGGAAGAAGAGGATGAAGAAGAAGAGGAAGAGGAAGAGGAGGAAGAGGAGGAAGAAGCCAAGGCTGAGAAGGACCTCAAGGACGCCGATCTTGTCGAGGAAGATAAGGTCGCTCAGAAAGATGACAAGGACGTCGATGACCTGGCCGATGTTCTGGGCAAGACAGCTATCTAAACCTCTGCGGCTGTTGGACAATTGTCATTTCCATCAGTACCTGCCTCCCACAACGGACGGATCATCCATGGATAGATCCAATGCCACGCTGATGTCACCAATAGCTGAACCCCGTGACCTCGTTGTCCTCCTGGCCATCCATTGTCCCTTTCGGTGTCTACGGCCATCCCAAACTTCGGGTATGAGGATCTGACTGACGACGCTTACGCTTTACCTTCAAAAAGACCCGATTTGTTATACCCCAATCCACAATGATGAAATCCTAGCTCTGCACATAATTTCCTTTGCTTTGATCCATATTCTGTTTACAAAGCGATGAACTCCCCACATTTTCTTCAGAGGATACACAACCATATAGATGGAATACATATCTGGACAAGCAGGACCATTCAAATAATCATACATTTAGGGAAAAAAATAATAAAGAAGTGGATGTATATACAAAGCTGCATATAAATTGCAAGAAAAAGAATTTCCGAAAATGGAACCCAAGGCTTGGCGCAAACTTCGGACATCGCTGCTCATCAAATTCCCTTTACCTCGTCGCCTTTGACATATCCCATCTATAATACCTGTCACTTCGGGCGCTTCCACTGCCGTCGCCTTTCCGCTCTTTGTTTCCTTTACAGGTCCCATCTCGCAACTCTATACCGCCGACGTGACCGTGAAATACCCCCAAGTGAGTGCCCACGCAAAACACCCCTCACTACATCTTGTTATTGCGCAATTATCCATTACTTTTTCTGGTGCAATGTGCAACAGCTCTCATTTCATTGTTTCCAAGCTTCTCTCGTTGTTTTTATCGAGTTTCCGAGAACAAATGAGGGAAGCAGATGGACACGTGCAAATTGACAGCGTACCACCTTCTCCCGCATAAGTATGGCGGGGTATTTTAAGAGCCATGTTTTGTGTGACATTCGTGGAAAGCATGTGTGCTCTATGATCGGTAATCACAAAGGGACAGGTGTGCTTGCCGTGGTTCTGCAGAATGCGCCGGCAAACGGGGCTTATATAGACGCTGCACTCTAAGCTTTTGAGATGACACGCTGACAGTTGTGGCTTATAGGTCGCCTAGTACTTTCTCGCCCGGTCGTCTATTGACCCTGTCAAGCATTCTGATCACGTTATCCCTCTACCCCGCACAACATGGCGATGGACGCCAAAGAGATCGAAGCTAAGGCCAAGGCCTTGGGCAAGGCCGCGACATCGAACGAGCCTCCAGCTGTGATTCTGGGCCTCCTGAAGGATATCCAATCCGGGGTCCGGGCAACCGAAGACCTCCTCCGACAGACGCGCATCGGAATCATCGTCAACAAGTTCAAGCAAAGCAAGACCCCAGAAGTTGCACGGCTCTCCAGCGAGATTGTATCCAAATGGCGGATCGAGGTGAACAAGCAGAAACAGGGCGGTGGTTCAGCAACCAGTCGAGGCTCGAGCGGCTCTCCGCGACCAGCACAAAACGGTACAGGAGCGTCCACCCCAGCCGCTGCTACACCCTCAGACAAGGCGTCGAAGCTGTCGGTGCCTCCAGATAAGCGAACCTGGAAGGCAGACGGAGCGGAGATCAATCACACCGGGAACCGAGTGCGCGACAGCTGCACGGGGTTGATGTACGATGGACTGTGCGTTGGGTCGACTGAACCTCCGAAAGTCATTCTATCGCGCGCCATCGCAGTGGAGGTTTCCGCCTACAAGTACCTGGGACCGGAGACGAAGGAGGAATACCGCACGAAGATCCGCAGTCTTTTCCAGAACCTGAAGAACAAGTCCAACCCGAAGTTGCGTGTGCGCGTTGTCGAGGGAGAGATTACCGCAGAGCAATTTGTGCGCATGAGCCACGACGAGCTGCGCTCTGTTGAGCAACGTGAGGCGGATGCCAAGATTCAGAAGGAGAACATGGACAAGGCTATGGTTGCCCAGCAGGAACGCAGTATCAGTAAGAGTTTGCAGTGCGGCAAGTGTGGCCAGCGCAAGGTTACCTACACCGAAGCTCAGACTCGTGCGGCTGATGAACCGATGACCCTGTTCTGTACGTGTCTTCACTGCGGCAAGTCCTGGCGGCAGTGAGCTCGGGGGACCAGAGCTGCGGGAGCGAAAATGTATTATTCTTTGGGACCCGGTGTTTCTTTCTTTCCGTTCTTCTCTATTTCTCGTGTTTTCGTGCTTTCTATCAAGCGAAGGCTGTGAGAGCCGACGCTGGAGTTCTACTGTGGGCCTTTGATTTATGTCTTCCTCTGCATCTGTTTCCCTTTCGGGAGCGAAGCTCGTCTGGGCGATTAGATGGAAAACAGTCGTGAACTACCTACCAAAATCCAGATATCCCAATGATCCCAATGATCCAAGTCTTACCCCCCATCCGTGGTTGTTTCGATACTACCTAAACCGTAGATATGAACAAACACAGAAACGTCATATTTATGTCACCTCCACCTGATATCACCTCCATAGGTCCAATCACCTAATACCACATCAACACCTCCAAAGAAATCAAATATTCCCCAACATGGCCACACGTACAGATCTCCTAAAATCAGTCCGTGCCCTCCTAGAAGCCCTAACAGACCCAAACACAAACCCCAACCAACTCCTCTCAACCTTCACAACTCTCCCAGAACCTCTAGTCCACGAACACGGTCTCCCGGAACTAGCCCCCTTCCTAGGCCGCCCATTCACCGGCCAAGATGAGATAGCAACTTACTTCGAGCTTCTCTCCTCCCTCCTGTCTATCAAGAACATGGTCTTCGAGCCCGAGGAGAGCTGGGTGGTTGATACGAGATGTATGGCTGTTTCGCTGCAGGGCACGGCGACATTCATCTGGAAGCAGACGCAGCAGGCGTGGGATGAGACATTCGTTTATCGCATTAAGCTTGCTGTTGATGGTAGCCGGTCTGGGGAGACCGGGAGGTTAGCGGTTTGCGAGTATCATGTTTGGGCGGATACTGGGGCTGCTTATCTTGCTAGATGCGGGAGGTTGGGAGATTTAATGGGGTCTGGGAGTGGTGGTGAGGATTTTGAGCCGGAGGAGGGGACCGCGTAGGAAGATACGTGTATGTATATATCAGCCAAAAGCCAAGATACAGCATTGGAGGTACTGCCAATCATAAGGAGAGTGTCAGTATTTGGGAGATTTTTCTCTGGTCTAGATAGGGTCTAGATGGTATACACATATTATATACCACCTCTCTGCCGTTCCCGCCACATTATTCTATAAGACCGGGGTGCGGTCTATCTCTATCCCTCGAAAACGCTATGGTTAAGCTCAACCCCTATATCCTTAGCCATATTCTGCATCTGAGCCTCTATATCATCCTCCATACCACCACCCAGATGCAAGAACTGGCGCACCTTGGTGAAATAGAAGAAGATATCACTACTAAACAGCACGACACGGAAGATAAGATGGCGACCGATGTTACGGATCTTCTCGGCCAGCGGCAGATCCGGCGACTCGATAAGCGCACGCGAAGCCCAGATACCAGTAATCTTAACACGGTTCACCGGCGAGCCCAGGAACTGATTATTCCCTTGGACGATGCGCAGATTGCGACCGATGAAGATCAGCTCCTGTGGCCACTTTGTTTCATCGCCTAGTATATCGCGGACCGCCTTGCGCATTCCCTGCTGCATCTCGTAGTGTCGCTCTGCACGCTCCCGCTTGCTCAGTCCCTTGAGACCGCGCTGCGTAGACATGTCCCCGCCTTTGTAGGGGCGCATCAACGTTGCTGACGCGAAGAAGTCTGGGTTGTTCACGCCCCAGCCCTTGACAATCTCGCCCAGCGTGCGATTGTCGAAGGTGAGGAGGGCTTTCCAGAACCGTGCGTATTCGTGTCGGAATCCGGGTTCCATATGGATGTACAACCCGTGGTCAATCAGAACCAGCTCCGCCTGTCCGTTCGGCTTGCGGCGAATGAAGATGTTTCCTGGGTGCGGATCGCAGTGGACATATCCCCACAGGAACATCTGCGCAGAGAACAGATCTACCATAGTTGTCATGACGTCCTTGAGGGACAGTCCCAGTCCACCGCGGTTGTTGCGACCTCGCCAGTAAGTGCGGTCCGGCTTTGTCCACGCCGCACCCAAGTTTCGGTCCGCAGAATTCCCCTCTGGCCGATCAAGCGGTGTACCGTGACAGCCTGGACTTCCCTGGCCCCAGCCGCCGCGCCAGGGCCGCGTGATGGCATCTTTGTCCCAGAGCCGTACGCCTTCTACCCATTCGGCAGTCATGACACGCTTCGAGCTCAATGCGCGGTATACACGAGGAATATACACGCGATCGCGCAGACGGGGCTCAGCAGCCACTAGCTTGGCCATGTTTTCCGAGTTGTCTGCTTCATTTACGAAGTCTGTTTCGAGCGACAGTCTCTCACTGATATAGGGGACAAGACTGTAGAAAGGGATGTCGAACATCTTGCTGTAGATATAGGTCACAACTCTATTGGTTTCCATGTTAGCATAACATGCTCTCGCGGCTCGAACTCGGATAACTCACTTGAAAGCCCAGAGATCCCATGCCAATTGCTGCACGATCTCCCGCTTTTGGATCTTGATTGCGACCTCGGTTCCATCCTGCAGACGAGCCCAGTGGATCTGGGCAACACTGGCACTGGCTCGGGCTTTGCGTTCCATGATGCCCTTGTCAGGGGCACCCGTAAATGAGATACCGAATACCTCCTCAGGCGATTTCCCAAAATCCTCACGGATGACTTTCTCAACATCCTTCCAGTCATTCTGAGGCGCATCGTCAAACATGCGGGAGAACATTGCCTGGAACTCAGGTGGCAGGATGGCTGATTGCATCGCAATCGCCTGGCCTATCTTTAGATAGAGACCGCCATTATGTCTCAACAGGTCCGACAGCCGCTCTGCGTTACGGGCGTGCACGGCACCAATAGAGCTGGCTAGTAGGGGCTGTGGGCGGAAGTTGATCTTGTAGTCGAGGGCGACCAAGATACCGAGAGAAAAGGTCCGGGCTGTCCGGGTCAGCGATGAGGCGTAGAACTGGCTGTCGATGCCGTAGATGACGCCTGTTGCTAGTGAGACGTAGATTATTCGACGTAACCATTTGATGGTTCGTTTGTAGGTCTTTGCTTCTTTTGGTTTGCCCAGGGAACTTGGTGACGGTGGCACAAAGGGTTGGAATTGGCTTGAGTGAGCATATCGGTGCGGGCGCCAGATGGAGGGACGGATGACGGTGGGCCGCAGAGAGCGGAGGAAGGTCGCGTGCGCCATATGGAATTGCGGAGAGGCGGATGCCGAATCACTGCATGGCGTTGGCAATCAAATCCAGTCTGATCTGAGGTGAAGGCAAAGTAGTGAGAAGTGTCAAGTGTCAAGAGTCAAGTAAGCTGTCGTCATCCGCGGTAGCTCCGCGTGGAGTCGGAGTCGGAGGAATTCAGCGATGCCCTTATTATCTACGTACGCTGGGTGGTGCAGAGTGAAATCGGTATATATCTGATATTAATTACATGTACAGCATTATTTACAGTCAAATTCAGATATAAATTATAATTCATCATGGTCATAAGGCCCCAAGGTGTCACACACTTTCGCATAATCCCTCATATTCTGAGGGATCGTAGTATCCCACAGTTCATCACTCTCCAAGAACTTAAGTTGCTCCTTACACAAGTCGTCCGAGGCCATTGGAATCAAAGCAGGAAGATGTTTGATCGAAGCCTTGAGGAAATTGCGCTTAAAGCAGTTGCCGAACCCAGCCAGAGTCTCCAAATCAGAGCAGATATGTATCCCACCACCCAGCATTCGTCCGCAGCTTGCCTTTATGTTTAGCGCAACATCGTCACCCATCTTTAGCAAAGTCTCTTCTTTGTGGGGTACATTCATGCGCTGCACCAAGCTGCGAACGGCGGGGACAAAGGTGTTGTTGCGCGTCCATAGATCCCAGTGAGGGACAGTCGGCTGGCATCCAACGTCGCAGATTTCACTCTGGAACTTATCGAAGAGGTAACCCGGTCGGCTAACCAGCGCGGAGACGACTTTGAAGCATGACGTGCCGATGGCTGTGACGGGGGAGAAGAACAGGAGGACGAGGAAGAGGCGATAGAGGAAAAGATGCATTATGTGAGATAAAGACGACCTCGGGGAAAGGACGAGGAATAGAAGACCGAAATCGACTGAGATCGTCCAGTTTTCTTTTTTGGTCAGGGGAAGAGTTGGAGGTGAGATCTGATTCCCCCGCATTTGTGGAGAGCTCGGAACTTCTGTCATCTTTTGATATTCCCAAGGTCACTGAAATTCATCTTGAATCTGCAAATGGATTTGCAGATTCGCAAAGATCCTTTCAGGTATCTCTTATATCCCTCTTCTCTATCCCTAAAAGCTTCTGACTGTAAATCTAGTGACGACTCTGTGGAAATGGCCATAAACCTAGAAGAAGTGGACTCTCTCGAAGCCATTGTCATCATCGACAATGAGCTGGATCCGCTGTCGCCCCCAGCCCCGGATACCGTCCAAGTCTCGGGCAACCTGGGGGCAATTGCCATGGGCTCAAAGCATACATTGACGGACCGTGGGGGCGCCTGCAAGGAATTAAGGCTGGAAGATGTCTGCTGCGCAGCCCATGGCTTGTCAATTCTGGTGGTAAGACGTGTTCTACCATTGGACTCTTGGATATGGTTTGGTATTAAGCCTATGATATAGACTGCCACTAAAGGAGACAAGAAACATGCTATTCTCTTCGATGCCGGTCCTGAAGAGGAGGCTTGGGAGAGAAACGTAAAACGGCTGCGACCAAATCTCTCCTCCGTGGAAGTGATTCATCTATCGCATTGGCATCGAGACCACTCCGGTTTGTGATTCTGAATGAAAACGGACACGTTGGCGCATATTCTCTTGGGCTGTTCTGACATTCGCGTAGGTGGTCTCCTGCAAGCGATCCGCATGATAAAGGATGCCAAACGAGCTGAGAGCCGCCCTGAGCACCTGGTCGTGGACTTGCATCCAGACCGACCTGTGTACAGAGGCATTTCTCTGCCCAGTCATATCATTTCCCTCGAGGCTGACCCCACCTTTGAGGAGATTCGAAGTGCAGGTGCGGTGGTCGACAAGCGGAGCGAGCCACATACAGTACTAGGCGACTTCTTCCTTATCTCTGGGGAGATTCCACGAGTCACACCGTATGAGAGAGGTCTGAAGAACGCAGTGCGATATGACCCTGATGAGAATGACTGGTTCTCTGACGAAGTCATCGTTGACGAGCGTTCTCTCGTCTGCAATCTCAAGGGTATATGCATCCTAGGACCGGCTCTCAAGTTACTGAACTAACATGTTCTCCAGGAAAGGGACTTGTGGTTTTCACTGGATGCAGCCACGCTGGCGTAGTCAACACTACTAAACACGCAGTTCAGCTCACCGGTGGAACGGTACCTGTCCATGCCGTTGTCGGTGGATTTCATCTCGCCACAAGCGACGCGGATCAAATCCAAGACACAGTAGCCGATCTCAAACGGATTGATCCCGCCGTGCTCATGCCGGGTCACTGTTCGGGCTGGCGGGCCAAGTTTGCGATTGAGAAACACATTCCTGGGTCATTGGTACCCTGCACTGTAGGATCAAGAATCACGTTCTAATCCACGTTGTATTGGTTTCATCTGATACATTGATACTCGTTGAACCTGTTCCTTACAGGCTCATTCTCCACGTGGACGCAGGGTCTTGGTGCGAACCCGCATGGCATGGGTTGCTAGGGGCAGCGAGTCTCATCAAGGGGCTCGTCAGCGGCTCAGCATAACTTGCTCTGTTGATCAGATTCCGATTCCTGACATCACCCCGTCTCCTTGCTGCATTTTCTTGCGATCGGAAGAATGCGGGATGGATGCGGATGACTGTTTCTAGGCTTATGATAGTAAGCGTGATAATGCTAATAATAATGGACTGATACGCACACAGTCAAGTGGCAGGCATTAAAGCTTGTGAGCCTTGTTGTAGCGATATCTGCTATGACCGTTTTAAACAATGTATATGTCAAAAGAAAACAATTGCAATTTCCATTGGATATGATATTCTCGATCAAATATGATACCAGGAAATTTAGAGCCGCATGAGATCTGTAGTTGAACAACCGAACCTGATATATTTATACGCAGCAGTAAATTGGATGCCAGCAACATCTATTTCCTTTGAATCCATCGGACTCGGATGTTCAGAATTGCTGTAAGTGATATCTAATACCTCATATCTGCAGAAGCAATTTCAATATATATATGTGTTTTATAAGCCTTGCAAAGTAGATATAACTTCTATCCATCACAGGATCAAATCTTGAACAGATCTTACAATCCTATGTTTAAATACCATTTCCATGCATATTTATTTCCGTGCCCACGTCCAGATAAGTAAAAGCGCCTCACCATCCCCAAGATACATGTACAATAGGATACAGTGTAACCACCAGGACAGCAACCACACCCAAGGACGCCCGAGGTCAGCTGGACTAATCTTCCACTCCGTTGTGCATTGTTCTACAGCCAAGATCCCTTGGTATTGAATATCTACCGAATCTTCGAGATACAGCATACAGATATCGAGCAAAAACAGTCAGGCGCCGTCTTGGCCGGAGAAAATCCCTCAGCGGCAGAGTCAGCCCAAGCATGGGCATATCGACAAGAACAAATCTACATGCGCCCCTGACAGCGCCACGCCCCTCACAGGCGACATTTCCGATAAGAAGCACGTCCCTAGATTCAATTGCTACATATGTACGGAGTACTGATGTGCATTACAAGCATGCACACTGCCCCCGCCAAGACGCAAGCACAACAAGCATTACCAATAATCACCCTTGCGCTTGTGAACTCCCTCTCCTCTCCACCCCGCCCCACGATCACCGAAGCTCGAATCGATGACCTCACGCCGACTCGACAGAAAAAAGGGGCTGGTCAGAGGCCAAATGCTCGCCAAGACGATAATGCGGGAGGAAGGGGATGCATGCATGGCTTGGCGTCGGTGGACAGGTACAAGATGAGGGCGATCAGCAGATCAAGGGGGGAAGTTCCTAGCATGGTCTTTGATGCGATAAGGGAAAGACACTTGACATCATTGAATGACTTTATCGCATCGTACGGAGTACTTGGTATAATATTGTAGCCTCATGCCAAGAATATATTTGAATAGCGTCGGTTTTTGTCTTCGGCGCCAAGATTGATTGTTTGAAGGAGACAGGGATGAGACGCAATCATCGAGATGATTTGCGCATTGATTTTTGGACTCGTCAATGATTCCTGGTCGCTAGTTTCTCTTCTCTTTGTGGTAGCTGAAGACATACCCAGTTGTGATCTATACTACGGAGTATACGGAGCACTCCATATACTCTTCCCTTATGGGGTAGGTCGTATTTGACGATGCATGTCATCGAGACTCCGATTCACATCGGACTATTGATATACCAAGACAATGAGAACAAGGATGTGAGCCGATCACGCATCCCGTTCCGACCTTAAGAGTCTCATAAATGGGCAATGCCCAGTGTTAATACTGCTTAGCCAAGAAACTCTAGTGAAACAGGGCCGTGAAACTCGGGCACAATTGTCCTCCCCTTCTGTTATCGGATCTTGGCCTCTGTCTCTCTATCGTCGATTGTGGAGTTTAATACCACATTGGTGCCATCCTGCATTATTCATCCAATCACTGCGACGAATGCTATCTATAGACAACAACACACACAGCACTCCAGACAACATGTCGATCCCCCAGCATCCCCCACAAATCTATCCCTGTTTTCCTTGGCACGCCCGGACAAGGTATCCTAGGACAAGCTCACAGTACCCAGATATACAGTACGTGTAAGACATGGAACACATAAAACCATACTGAAACGGTGTTTAAACTATATTATGCAGTTTTGACTCCGCCCCCGAGACTTAAACCAGGCACCGGCAGAGGTTGACAACCGGCACTATATGACAGGGAGTTTAACAGTGGCTATGCAGATCTGCCGACGCACAAAGGTGCATACAAAGAGAGAGATATGTCGTAGCCTAGCGGGAAGTCTTATATCTCCTTCTAACAATAGTAACAGAGAAGCAAATAGCAAATAGCAACATCTATACTCTATCTAATTTTATCACAGTCACCGTCATAGCCTCCGATCATATCGTGAACACGCCGATCGTTGGTGCCCGAGTGGCAGTGACAGCCAGTCCGAGACGCAATACTGTAACGTTCAATTCGGTCGAAGCAGTCTGCGATGTGTTTCAACATGTCACAGCCAAGAAGAATATCAATACTCCGTACATACAATTATTGAGTACATCGCTGCAGCACGGGGAGATAGGGAGCGTGTGCATTGTAGACTCGACTGTTTTCGCGCACAGGGTAGTTCGGGATACCTACCCCATAACGTCTCTCCCACAGGACACAGGGATCACACTAGGGACTAGATGTATTACCCCGGATACTGAGGAGAGTAACTATTATGTCAGTTATGTTGTGCATACTTGCCTTGCGTCACAGGGGGAAGAACCACAAAGTGACATAGCATGTCTTTGCATTGATTTGTTATTTTCCCATCTAATGTACTTCGTACGGAGTAGATAGGTAGCATAAACCCTTCCCGATACCGGAAGTCGCGCCAATCCCAGTAGATAGTGACGCGCAACTGCCCTATATGGGAAAGTAGCGAGCGCGGAAAATATCCCTTTGCTTGATCCCTGAAATACCACTTGCTAGTTGTGACGGTTCGCGTCGAGTGTGGGGTGTTTGTTCTCCTGTCGATCACGACCGAAAGGGGAAGACTATCTAAACGTGCAGTCTGTCTTGGATGGGTCAATTTGGTCTCTTATGGCTATGGATTATCATTAGTCGCGTGAGTTGTCTTAGTACTCCGGAGATGTTCTGTTTGTTTATTCATTGCTTTTTTGGGTATAGCGTGGTAGCCATGTAGCCATGGAGTATATGGGATGTCATCATTGCCATGGAGTATCCTGTAGAGGCTTACTCCGTAGATGGAATGATTTGTGCGTGATCACGCGAGCTACCCATAAAATGGTTCTCCGTGCAATCTCCCCGGTCAGTCTTAAAAACCGTTCAAGATTCGGATTCGCGTTATTTCGACCAAATTG